ATAATAGAAAAATATTTTTCTAAACTGATGAAGAAAAAAAAGATTTTAAACTTAAACAAACTTAAAATCAACCAATTGCTGCATGTCCCCATGTCCCTGACTTTAAAAATTATAGCTAGAAAAAAAAAGATTTTCATTAATAGAAAAATATTTTTCTAAACTGATGAAGAAAAAAAAGATTTTAAACTTAAATAAAATTAAAATCAACCAATTGCTGCATGTCCCCATGACCCTGACTTTAAAAAAACTGTATATATAGAAAGAAAATAAAATTTTCAACATAACAGAAGAAAATCTATTCTTTTATAAACGAGTAAATAATAATTTTCTATAGAATAAACTAAAATTTAAAACTTATCGTTACACTTCAGTTTTTCATTATACAATAGTATGATCTAAACATTTTCATTCATGGAACAGTACTGTTGAAATACTAATAGTAACAATAAATCAATAAATTCTTTGAAATATAACAAAATACTTACTCTTGTATTTATAAATAATATAATATAATACTTAAATTGAAAAAAAAAATCATTCCAATCTCAACTAAATTCCAATCTCAACTGCAACATATATATTGTTCATCAAAAGTGAGAAATCATTACATTTGTTCATACAATGATGTTTATACGAATGGAAGATTTGCCTAATGAACTTTTTTTAATTATATTCACTTACTTCAATGGTGTTGATCTTTGTCTTGCTTTTTCGAGTTTGAACACACGTATTAATCGGTTATTATTTAACATTGCTTCTCATCAATCACTTGACTTAATTTCTGAATCTGTTTCTTACAATGCATTTCGTGCTCATATTACTGATCGATATGTTGTTCGTTCGGCTACTTCCAAATTGCGGTCAAAAATCACACCTATTTGCGCCCTCACTCACACTGTCGGCCTGCTGATTGGTTTGATCTTTGTCCGCAATTTGGAAGCTACGGTTCTGATTTGGTATTACTTCTTCAATGTGGTGTATTACCATTACTTCAACAACTCAATATCACATTCGAAGGTCAGAATCCACACGTCGATTTTCGTCTAATTCGTTTCAAAGTGAATGAATCAAATTTGTTTTCTACAGATACAGCTCGATTACGTATACTTTCATTACACACTATACCTATGCATTATACATTACGATTTGTTCGTTTTCTTCGCCTAACTCAACTGGAGACTTTACGTTTAGTCGATATTTTCGATAACATTAAATGAAAAAATGCATTTTTTTTCTCTAAATTAATTTAGTTAAGGTGTTGCAACACTCATCATTTTCAAAATAGTATTAAGCAAACAAAGAAATATAAATGTCAATTTTTGCGCTCAGAGATTATTTATAGCACATGCAAGAGTTAGATAAATGTTTTCTTTTAATTAGAATAAACAAGTGTATTTTTTTCTTTTAGAGGTAAGACGTTTAACAGAGTTTGAACAAGTAATATCAATTCGATTGTATAAGCTTGTCAAACTTCAATTCATTCTTCGTTTTCAAATTGATATTGTTCTTCAAAACAATGTGTTACATTTGTCCCAAGGTTTAGATGTTTTAAAAAATGATCTATGGCAAACTCGAGATTGGTTTGTTTATTATTATATCGATACTGATCAGAAATGTTTCATCGTTTCACTGTACCTTATGCATTATCTTATGTTCGTTAGCTTCGCAATCACATCTTCATAGCTGCACAACAACCTAATTTTGTGAATTTAAAGACACATCAACCTCTTTCATGGACATGTACTAATCCAAATCCATCAGAAGTTGCACAAAGTTTGAAAGGGCTTAGTCAAGCAAGACATCTTCAAGAGGATTTTGAAGCTAGGGTAAGATTTTGTTCTGTTTCTAATAAAAACATATAGAAGATTATGTACATAAAGCTTTTATTCTTTGAACTATTATTAATATAGTATTCTATGTTTGAAAAATGTAGGTGTCTCCATTAGTGTTGTCATCTTCAAACAATATCGATTCTGTTACGCGATGGTCTCGAATGCAACTCAGGCAGACAAGCAAAGAAAAATAACGCGTAAAAACCGCACATTTTTACGATTTTAATTTCGTTAGAAATTTAACCCGCTTTTTTGGTGAAATAAGTGACCTGTTAGAGGAATGACAGCTGTAATCCGTAGACTTAGGTTGCTTATAAATCATCAAGCAACCTAAGGCTACGGATTATACTGTCAGTCACCTACCCAAGCAGACAAACTTTTGAGAAAACGCGTTTAAACGCATAGAAATTGCCCTAAAATCCGCAAAATGTGGACGTTTTTGGCTCACACTCGCGGTTTCCGACTGTGAGCCCAAAACACCCATTTTTTGTTTGTTTAAACGCGTTTTCACGCAAGAAACGCACGTACACGCATACAAAAAGAGAAAAAGCGGTTGTTTTCTCATACTCGAGATGCATGATCATAATTACAGTCACGTTTCTTGTGTGAAAACGCATTTAAACGCACAAAAAGGGCGAAAAATGAGTGTTTTTGGCTCACAGTCGGGAACCACGAGTGTAAGTAAAAAATGTCCACTTTTTGCCGAGTTTAACCAATTTCTACGCGTTTTTTTCAAAAGTTTGTCTGCTTGAGTAAAAGGTAACTTATTTCAGCAAGAAAACGCGTTAAATTTCTAATGAAATTAAAATCGTAAAAATATGCGGTTTTTACGCTCTTTTACGCGTTATTTTTCGTTGCTTGTTTGACTGGGATTGATTTCGTCTAGTTTTTATACTTTGGAACTATCACGACACATATAAGCACGAAAGCAAGAAAGATATTGTCTGTGAGAAATTTGACGAAGCCGACGACCGATACTCTTTCACCTATGTTTTCGCTATCTGTTCATGTTGACTTTAGCATAATAATAATAATAATAACTTTTTCATGTAATCTAGAGAAAACCTATGCGATGGCTGTTCATAGCTTTCTTTTTCATTTCTCGAGTCTGGAGGTTCAACATTGTCTTCTGTTTCTTCTTCAGGTTCTGTCTGTTTATTATCTTCACTTTTTCTAAATCCATCTTCGGAGAGATCATCGGAATAGTTTATTTGATGAAGTGTCGATTCATCATAAATGTCACACGATGAAGCAGACAAGAAAGTTTGAATAATCTCAAAGAGGTACTCGATGAAATTTTGAACTTGTTTATTTTCTCTAGGCAGGTAAGTCTCCTACTCTAAAAATTATTCAGACAGCATAGCTGCGATATCAGCTGCTATCATCATTTGATTAAACAATGACACGAAATTAGTGTGTTCATCTACTGTTTCTCTTCAGCATCGGCATGGCAAATATGTGACTGAAAATAAAAGTAGTCATTTGTCTTTTTACCTTCTTTTTTTCTCTCTTTTCTTGTGATATCACATATCTCCAAGCCTTATGCAACTAGATTTGATATTCTGGGTGTGAAAAAAATTATGGATTTGAAACGACTGTAGCAAGCTAGCCATCACTGAAGCTATCTGTAATCAAACTACCACTAGAATCATTAAGATAGCAGAGAAAGGATAATTTAAAAAAATGAAAAAAATCCATTTTTCTTCTACATAAACTTGATCATATCTTGGAAACAAAGAGCCATAAGCACGAATGCTTGGGGAATTTTCCTTGTTTTACTGAAACTTACTCATAGACACAAGATAAAATTAAAAGCTGGAAACAGTCGGGCAGCTTCTTTGTTAGTTAGCCACGTGTTAACCTCGCTATCTATCAAACTAACTATGAAACTGTCTATTTAATGTCTATCTATCTATCTATCCGTTTATCAGATTACAAAACATGCCTTAAAAAAGACGTTCAGTAAGGTTAAGAGTAGGAAATACATAACCCAGAGAATATTGTGTGGAAAAAGCGGATAGATTGTGAGTAAAATAGACGAAATAAAAAAAAAACATACTAATGAAAAAATGCAATTAATAGATTACGCCAATACATGGATGTTGAAAACGAGCTACGTTAACCATATAAGGGGATAAAGAAAAAGAGAATGCAAATCATGTTTGTTATAGGCTTTTCATTCTAGCTGAGAAAGAATCGAACTCAAATGAAGCTAAAAGAGAGAGATACAGAAAGAGAGCTTCAAATTTAGACACGATGACATTACTTTTTGAGATATCTTGTTTTCGTCTTCATTGCTACCATTGATGATCACAAACATGAATATAAGAGAAAAATGAGGAACTCATCTAGATTATTCTATACAGATTAGCAAAGGTTTATGCGCGTGAGCCTGAAAGAAAAATTTATTGGAGACAGAGTGGACATAATGAGTGAATTGTGCATCTTACGCATGTTATTGTAATTCTCAAAAACTTGATCGATAATGATGACACAATAAACTAGAGACCTCCTCACTCATTTGAACTAGATATTTTTGTTAATTGATCGATAGCCACATGATATAAAAGTGCAACGACGAAGAATACGGTAAGTTGGCAATAAAAAACTGAAAATATCTAACTAAACCAAAACAAAATCGAAAAATATTATTCGATTTAATCGACTATTATTATGATGAAAACCAAGAAGGACTTAAAATTGCAATTGATTGCTTAACACCAGTTATTGTAGTCTGAAAATGTTTTTTGCACAAAAAATATGTATTTTGTGAAAAATATATTACAGCCATAAAGATTCATATGTTTAAACGCGATACACTATTACTTTTTCGGTGTGTACGTGTATTTTTAAAAGCTTTCGCCTATTTGCAGAGTCATCAAAAGTTCAACATTTCGAAATGAAACGAGAATAAAACTTTCATTTCTAAGCACACTCATAATTCCCTATTACTGATTATTAAAACGCTGCTGATTTTCAATAAAATGAGAATGAAAACAATCTTTCCAAAAACGTACAAATAAGTCTCTCAAAAAAAATACTAACATGGCAATTAATAAATGCTCCAATCATGGTAATAGAATGAATCTTTTCATGTGTACACGAGAAAGATCACTAGAAATAATTGCTGTTTGTATGCATACTTGTAGCATAGATATTTCGACCGCTTACACGACCATTTCTTTCTACACACGTTGTCTAAGATTCTTGTCGCTTTCAATAACGATTACATTTCATTGACTAGCAAAAAAAAATCTGAAATTTGAATTTAGATTAAAACATTTTCAATTGACACGAAAGATTTCAAAGATTTGAGAAATTTGAATTGTTATTCGTAATTATGAGAATATCAAAGAAAAATAAGATATTGAGTTTTACTACATCAAATATTACCATTATAATAATCTTTTGAAACACGATCTAAAAGCAATATTGAAGTATAGAAGCAGAAAATTTGGATCTACTCCCACAGACGTCTTATCAACGACTTGTCACAGAGATTACCACAACATTTCAAAGTCCGCTGTGGGATTAGTATAATGGTTGTCCTTTTTTCTTGACATTCGCTGCAATTTATTACAATTAATATCTTTTATCATCAACATTCATTGACAGTAGGTAAGAATTCTTAAACCAAAATATACACCGATTAATCCACTCTTTTACAATATCAACAGCTCCACTGTGTTTCACATTATTATTCTGAAGGAATTTGCGAAAACACCTTTTCTAGATAATTTTTAGTGAAAGAAATTTCACATTTGGTATCTGATTTATTTTTATATCAAAAAAGACTAATAAGGTGATTTATTTGAATTTTTCTTAATTTATTCAAAGCTTAAAGATTCATTTCAAAATGCTCAAAAGAATTTGAAGTAATGAAGAGATTAAAATTAGAAAGAAAAGTGAGAATAAACTATTGAAATAACAGACGTTTGATGTAGGGATGAATATATGATGATTAAATATAAATCATAATACATATACGACAGAGAAGCATTGAAAGAGAAGAAAAGATACCTAAAGAGTTTTTTTCATTTTTCCCAACATAACCAGAGAAAACTTGGTTAATAGATCTTGAAAAGAAGATCTTCATTTAAATTCCTGTTTTCTATTCTTTAACAATCTACTCTTTCTAACATCATAGTCCGTTGCTAATGCATGTCAATGGTCCAATTAGCAAAAGAACTTAGCATAACTTGTTCTATTTTGACGTACCTTTTTTTCCATTGATTAATTCAATCGATAACTAGCGCCAACTATCTGTAGCGATGTAAATATAATCTGGATGAGGATATATGGACGAAAATTTTCATACATAAATTATTTCATAAGTTGAATAAATTGAATATACTATTTATATATATATATATATATTTTCAGATCATTTTTGGTTTTTTCATTTTTTATTAAAACAAGAGAAACAATATGGTAGATTAATCTTTTTTTTATTATTCATTTATCTATTTTTTATTTAATTTAACAATGATTTAGTCAAAAGACAAAAAACTTAAAACAGGTGGTAAACTTATTCATCCAAGTAGTCGAAAAGCCAAACAAATCTCAAAATTAGAATGTCATGCAGGTCGAGTTGTTAAGTAAGATTTTTTTTTTTTCGAAAGAAAAATTTTCTTTTTACATATATAATTCATTTTTAGAAAACGTCAAAATACAAAAGCTAAATATAATAATTTACGTGATAGAATTCAATGGTTTAAAGATCAATTAAATGAAAATCAAACTCATTTATCACAACAAGAAATACATGAACTTATTCAACGGTAAGTTATTGTTTTGTTTTTTTGTTCTTTCATCTTACTATACCGATATTTAGACAGATATCTTCAACGATTTCAAGATGAACTTGAACAAATTGACTTAAAAAATCAAATAGGTCAACGACAAAAAACACCTCAATACGCATCACGTAAAGCATTAATTGAAACAACAATAAATACGGAACAACATGAATATGAAACCAATGGCATTGGTATTTAAAAATACGTTTATTTTCTTTCTCGATATGAATTTCTGTTTTTTTAAAGAAATACCAAACCTCACTCGAATCGATGCTGTTAAAGAACTTCGGTATGAAAATTTCCATATACACTTCTGAACATAAGTCTTTCCGCTCATCGGATCTCAGTCATCATAATTAGGGTTTCATATCCTTAAAAGATTGCCTACTAAAGTTTGTCTTGTTTCGTATCAAATGTATGACTAATTCTGAATATTTTCAAATAAAATTGAAGTCTAATCTATGGTCTTTCTCTTCATCTAAAAGATAAATTTATTTGCTTGAATATTGATATCTCTGAATTCTTGACATTAGCAAGATGATCATCTGTATATCATGCCCCTCTGGTATAAAATTTTTGTTCTGAAACTCGCAGAAAAAAATGTTAAAATATAGAAAAAATTTCTCTAAAATTGTCAGGTTAATACATTGAACTATCACTGAGTTATGAATCTTGAAAGAGCAATAGATGGTTTTCTTTTGTACACCAATGGTTAGAGTCGAATAACCAAAACTCTTGAAAACATTAGCGAATCTTCACAAAATTTGTATTACAAATAGTTAAAACATACCGGATAGATCTATCAATCCACATTATCCTTCGCCTCCAGAGCTACGAAGCTCAAAACAATAATAAATACTATTCGTGATAGCTCAGTGTTTGCTAAAGTAAGCGGAGTGCGGGTAGTTCCATTGGCGTATACTGATAGTGAAGCACATGCACACAAAGTTTCAGACCTCTATTTAGAACCCATCGAGTTGGCTCTGGATCCGACAGATCCTAGTCGTCGAAAAAATATGTAGGGTACGCTAGTCACTGAAAATAAAAAAAAGTCTCTCGTATCTTCGGGACGATTAGAAAATTTCATGAAGAGTATCAAAGTATGGATCCGATGAGTCCTACTTCTATCTCTTATGGTGACTAAGATTTGATATGAGGAAAGAGTTTTTTGTCGGGAGTGTAATTAAAAAAAGCTTGAATTCAATTTTTTTCCTTTTTTGATTAGAAATTGGGATGGTAGTGTTCGATTAATGCCACGTCTTAAATTATGTTTAATAAAACATAATAATTCAACATCAAATAAAAATGATAATATTAATGAAATTGTTTCAATTGATAATGAAAATGAATCAATGGATAGTGATGTTGAATAAAACAAACAAAAAAAGAAATATAATAAATAAATTTATTGGAAAATTTTGTCTTTCCTCTCGTTAAAATTCATTGTTTTTTATTATTTTAATCTATTTAATTCATTCAGCAGTGACTTAATATTTAAATTTTACAGTAACATAACAAATCAATATGAATCATTCAAAGTCATGCGTTCAGTCGAGCTAGTAAAAGAGTTTTTACAACATATGAAAAATAGTTCATGTAATTATCATAAACTATAATTCATATATATTATTACATGGATAATGAAGTACTCGAATGAAATTCTCTTTCTTTTTTGGTAAATGAACAAATTTAATCTTTTTATTAAATTGATGTTAAACCTGCAAGATTATTTTAAGTGTTTTAAAATTATCGAAATTAAATCGTGAGAAAATAAAAATAAAATTTTTTATGATAATCTTTCAAGCAAATAAAACTTCATATAAATAGAATGTTTATCAATGAGAAATAAATTTCAATACATATTCTCGATGGTTCTGTCACTCACTATTGTATAAAAGTAGACATTATATTTGTAATAAATCTGAAAAAATCGTGATTAAATATTCAATCATTAAATAAAATAATTTATTTGTCAAAAGAAAAATATATTGAATTGTTTTTTTTGATGAAAACGTTAACATTTATTAGCAAACAAAAATACGCGACATATCAAATATTTCTTTCCTTGGATGCATTAAAGGTATTATTCATTGAAAATCTGCTTATGTTAAGAGTCTATTTTTTTTTGTTTCAAGATAAAATGTGAAACAAGACATACTTCATATATGCAAAAGAATAATTGACTAAAGATATATATTTTATTCATGAAATTAGAACATAGGAGCAAATGAAATAAAAAGTATGAAGAGAGAATTCGCCAACCCATTGAGAACCATCACTACATGATCGTAATTAACACTTCTTAAATCTCAGTTGATTTCTTGCATAAAACTGAGATTATAAAAAAATTTTCAGCCTTCTGAGGCATCATTTGATGAGGCTAGAGTTTTGGAAACATGGGACTGTTTCCAAAATTGCAAAAAAAAAATTTCATTTCAATGTTTCACTTCTATCTCGATCGTTTTTCAAGCAACGTCTCATTCAAAAGGACTCGAGAGATTAAACAAAAATATTCCTTCTAAGATTTTCAAAAAGCTCACTTTTCACACGAACAAGACAGTTTCTTTAAGTAAGTTGAAGTTTTGTCAATCGCAAGCTTTTTGATTGCAAGACATTTTTCGGAGCTCAACAAGACCGAAAATGAAAATCTAATATACTGTATATTATACAAAATTCCGTGCTCGAAATATCCATACATAAAAAACTTGAGAAAAAAGTATTACGACAGAGCTAGATTCGGAAAGCAACGTAGAGAGATAGCATATCTATATATAGTAAAAGCGAAAAACTCATTTCATATTCGGTATCAATATCAAAAAGTCAGTTAGACAACATAAGTTTCGTTCAAAAAACCTTTTCCGATAAAATTTCATCCGATGGGAACTACAAACAAAAGTTTTACAGAAGCAAGATGAAGGCTATTAGAGGTGAGGTTCGCCGTAAAATTACTTTTGACAAAACCAATATTGTCTGATTCATTTTTTAATATTGATACCGAATATTACATGGATTTTACTTGGCAATGAATACATAATGGCTAATCCATTCCCTCAAAAGAAGTTTATTTTCGTCAAAAAATATGAAACTCGAGATAGATGCACGGAAAGAAGATAGTTCGAGATATAATTTTTCATAAATGACATGAGTTTTTTTGTTTGACACCTCGCTTTTTTCAAAAGCTTCCGTCATTTTCTACTTGAAAAATATGATTTGTTCACATCAAGCGGAAAACTTTTTTCACTTTTTATGCATTTTTTGATCGCGCATCGAAGAATTGTCGAAAGAACTTCATTATAGTCAATGCCTGTTCGATTTGTTTAGAAGGACATGTCAAGATGCAGGGCATGATAGAGTACCGTTTTCAAATTAATTCTTGCTAACTTTTTTCTAGAAGAGTAAATTTATAATTAGAGCGTCATTTTTTGAGACATTTGGATTTTTCTCTCATTAGAAAGTAAGAGTTTAGAAAAAAATCGAGTATGTCATACCCTTCATCTTGACATGCTCTTTGAAACAAAACAAAAAAACAAGTACATAGAACGAAGACAAATAATTTTTGTTTGTCAAATGAGCTATTTTTAAGTTTTATCTGTTGAATATCTTGCAAAAACGTTATGGTATAGAGCGGAAAATCTTACTATAGCTCCAATATATTCTAAAAATTTCATAAAATTAGAATGTATCTGGTCCGAGATCGATTCTTGAAAGTTGGAAGATCTTTAAACAATCGATTTTTCAACTTTTTCTATACGTAGACATGCTATCTCTCTCCGTTGTTTCCCAAATCTCGACCGGACATAATAGGTTTTTCTCAAACTTTTTCTACAAGATATACTATGTTAGATTTTCTTATTCAATCGTCAGAGTCCTGAAAAATGGCCCGCAATTGAAAATCTATGATTAATAAAACTAGAACTTTTGTGAAAATTCTAGGCTAAGTATTTTTACTTGGTTTCACGAGTTCTTTTAAATGAAATGTTGTTTGAAAAAAATAACAAACAGATGAAAAATGACGGAAACAGACGTAAAACACCGAAAAGAACGTTTTGCAGATGAGTTGACATTTCCAAGCTTCTAGCTCCATCAGATAATGTCCCAGGTATCTGAAAATCTTTTCGTAACTTCAATTTTATGCAAGAAACCGAATGGAATTTAAAAAAATAATGTGTTAATTTCGACGATGTAATGACGTACTAGTATCAAGCTTGATTGTATGGCACAACGTCACTTAAGTGTTAATTAAATCTTTGTTTTTTTTTATTTAATAATGATCAACATAGCAACCATTTCTCTGACATGTCTACTCATAAGTATAGAGAACGATTTGCAAGAGATCCGAGAAGAGAAGAACTGAACATTTTCGATATAAACTTACACTGATTTTCTAAGATATGAATGCTACAAAACTATTTTCATTATAAATTAAAGTGTTCGGATTTTTTTTTCGTTCTCAAAGTTAAAAAGGAAACATCATTTAAGTTTTTTTGTACTTTATGACCGATCGATTCACTTTCAAACACAATACCTATGAATTTCAAGTGGATATGTTTATTAGCACTTAAGAAAAGAAATAAAAAGTTTCACATGAAAACATTGTAAAGTTATTTGTAGCGACGTATTTAAATTTTTGCTATCCAAAGAAACTAATGTCTTGCGCTTACAGAACAACCGATAAATAGAAAATGATTTATAAATAGTTCGCTATTATTTGATTTAGACAAAAAAGTAGAACAAACAGAACCATTTTACTTTTTAATATTATCTAAGTTGAACTAAAACGTGGTAAATAAAAGAGTCATTTTGAAATATGTTTCTTTTTTAATTATTGTCATGAATTACTCTGATTATTACTCGGGAANACAGACACAATTTGAGATGGAGATAGAAACGCCAGTTGCTTAGTAGTTATATTTGCTATTGTTCTTATTTTGACTCTGTCTAAATCACGCACATATAAAACTGCGCATGTTTGTTGCTGGCCTATATATATATATATATATATATATGGGTGTGTGTGTGGGTCGATACAAGCAATAGAGCCAAGGAAATTCAATTTGACAATAGACGACACAAGGGATATTGCATATATTCGTTGTTTATGAATAGAGATAGTCGTAGTTTCGATTAAAACCTCATTGAATGATGACATGCACAATACAATTCAACTTTTGTAATACTAACGTGACAAAGAAGGATGTCACTAGTTTTTCTATCAAGACTTGATTTGGATGACACATTTCGATATTATATAAATGACAACTGAGATTTAGATGAATCAAATCAATAATCTTAATTCAATTTATTTCAATTTCTTTTCCTTTTAATGTGAATTTGATCATAAAAGGTGCACATAGTATAGAAAAGAGATGTTCTCTATGCATCTTTTTCTTTCTCTTTGATAGAATAGAATGATGGTAGGACGGCATCATATCGCAATTCTCTTCTTTTTTTTTTTTTTACTTTATTCTCTTTCTTTTATATTTTACTTTTATAGTGACGTGAATCGACCCAAACTTTATTGTGTATGTTTGATTCTCTCTGTGTCAGCAACATACGGTGCTCGTCACGCATTTTTTACATTCAACAACAGCGCCTAGCACGTAGAAGAAAAGAAAGAAAAAGGAAAGAAGGAGCACACGGCGCAAGAGCAATACTGTTGTTCATTGTATTTGCAAGACTCGGAACGAGTATCTAGTGTTATAAATCATTCTTCTTTTTCTTTAAATAAAGAACGACACAGGTCAAATTATCCGATGAGCTTTCGACGTTCGTCGACACGTGTTAAACCACCCAAAGCAACAATTAAAATACTTTGTGTTGGTGATGGTTCGATCGGTATTTCACATTGTTGTTTTTTTCTTTTAACTAAATCCTTTTTTTTTTTGTTTTTATCTTTCATATTATTTATAGGAAAAACGTGTTTGTTAACCGTCTTTGCAACAAGTAAGAGAAAAACAACAAAAGAAAGTTTCTTTTTTTTCTATTAAAATATTTGTTTAGATGAATTTCCCTCGGCTTATGAGCCAACTGTTTTTGATAATTTTGCTTGTGTTATGAATCGAAATTCAAAAACATCGTATAATCTTGAATTGTTTGATACAGCTGGTCAAGAAGAATGGGAACAACTTCGTCGAATGATGTATGCCAATACAGACGTATTTTTAGTATGTTATTCATGTATGCAACCATCTTCATTTGATAATGTCGAAAAAAAATGGATACCTGATGTTCGCAGTCATGACCCATCAAGTCTTGTCGTTCTTGTTTCACTTTGTATTGATTTACGTACAAATAACAATTCAATGAATTCTCAAACTGATCTTGTATCATTACCTATGATAACAACACAACAAGGTTCAGAATTAGCTAAACGTTTAAAATGTAATGCATTTATTGAATGTTCATCAGTACTTCGGTTTCATGTTCGAGAAGTATTTGAATGTGCTATTGATGTATTTGAACGTGATTATCAACGATACTCTGATCAATATTGTCATGATCATCGTAAATGTCATACATGGATATGTTGTCTTATGTGTTGTTCATCAAAAAAACATAAACAACAAAACAACAAAAATGATAAGTCAGATCAATATTCTTACAATCCAGAATGAATAGTATATCCATGTATATATATATATCCTTAAGCTTTTGTTATAAATTTGTCCTATTTAATCCGGTGGTTGTATGTTTGTTTTTCTTTTTAACAAAAAAAACAAAATTGCTTTTTTTTTTTGTTTAATGTATCATGTAATATTTAGTCTTTTTTTTTTGCTGTCGTTATGTTTTGTCATTCATGTATGAGAAAAGAGCAAGAGAAAAAAAATTAGCACAAGACCATGGAATACACAGAAAAAGAAAAAATAAAGAGAAGACATGTTTTTCTAACTGTACAATATATGAAAACATATTTAACAAAAAAAGAAAGAAAAACTACGTTATATATAAGAATAATGTCTAATTAATTTTGTATAGGTTCCATTTGATTGATTTCATTAATTAATCGTCTTCCATGTGATGGCCAATCCATATCATTAATACTCACACATGTAAATCGGATTCTTCGTTCATCCTAAAACGACAAATTATATTATGGACTATGTTAAAAATTAGATTATTATCTCTACATTATATTGTTCAGCTTTAGCACGAAGTTTAAATATTAATTCGTGATTCATTGCTTTTCGAATAATATCATCCATAATACTTTCACTTTGCTTAAATATCAAAATAAAAAAAAATAAAAAGATGTGTTTTTTTTTTATTAATGAAAATATATATTTACATGAAGTTTATGATTGCCAAATTCATCAGCAGTAACACCAAGTAACGCTTCAGCTTCATTTCGAAACATAGTAATCCATTGTGAACCAGTAACATCGGAAATTTCAGCCTAAAATAATATAGAGAAACACAAACTAAACATGAATTTCCTGTTGAAAGGTTAGTTGGTCATCTAAAGAAAGCAATCACATCGTTCTGAAGACAAAGATCACAAGTTTTGACAGAAGCAACTATTTGAAAAAACAGCCGACTTTAAAATGTCATTATATTTTATGTATATTTTCTTGCTCAAAAAGTTTCATTAGAATCAAAATTAATCTTTTCTAGTAAAAATTTGGTTAATTTTGTTTTTGAATACATACCGAAATCATATAAGCCCATTTAAAATTACTATAAGTCTTATTACATTTTTCACATCGATATGTTCCATTATTTTCATCGACAACTTTTTTACCACATTTTTCTTCTGGACACATCTATTGTAACGAAAATAATTAAATAAACTTGAATTTTAGGTAAATATTTTCATTTTTACCATATAAACAGCTGTGTCTTTTTTAATTATTGTAGTTATTGCTTTAACGCTAACATAATCAGGTTTATCACCGAGGCCGAGACCCTCGGCAATAATTTGAGAAAGTGTTTTTATAACTGCTGAAAGAATAATAATAAAAAAAACTTCATAATTAATCTCAACGAAAGAATAATAAAAATAAAAACAAACTTTGTCGATTTCCAGCATCAGCTCCTTTCGATAAATCTGGTAAATCAAGTGATTTTCCTTCATTATCAAACCAAACACGAAGTTCAACTGTTCGTTGTGTTTCAGTTGGATCTTGACGAATTAATGTACTACTAATACTTGATAGAGTACGACCTAAAACCAAATTATTCGTAATTTCTCTATTGACTAAATTATTTTTCGAATCTATACCATTAAAATCACCAATTTTTATTCCTTTAAAAGCCACAACTGGATGTGATGAACCATCAAATTCTTCAGCCTGATGAGAAAAAAAAAACAACAATCAATGAAACAACAAATCCAATTTATCGTCAACTATCATTTTTACTTGTTGACCCCATAATGTCACTGAAATTGACGCTTTTTCATCAACCAAAAGTAAATCACGTTTATTAAATTCTTTTTGTGATGTTTTACTAACAATAGTTTGCATGTCAGATGTACTTTTAACAACACCAATAACATCTTAACAAAAATATAAATAACTATAATATTTATTCTATTGAATTTGTTTACCACAAATACTATTTGCTGATCGATTTGCTATATCACTAATTGAAATAAAATTAAATTGTACTTGTGGAATATTTTCTCCTTCACCAGCATCACATGCTTCAATAATTGTATCATGATTAAATGTCATTTCATAATCATTATTTGTATTATTATATTGACGATTAGCAGCTTTTAATGATGCTTTAGCAATATAATAAACCTACATAAAAATGTTTTTTTTTTTTTTTTTTTATTTTTCTCAAAATATTTATGATTGCAAAAAAGAAAAAAAAACGAAACATACTTCGCCAATTTCAAGCATAGAATAAAATCTATCGCATTCAGCATTAAATCCTGTTGCACGAATTTCACCTGATTGATCAACAAGATCACAACTGAATAATTTTCCAGGACCACGTGCATTTTCATATGTTCGAATTTGACCTTTATTACTTATACGAGCTTTGATAGTCCATCTAGAAATTTTGTTTTTTTGATATTCAAATTGAAATAATTATTTAAAAATAAAATACTAACTTATTCATATATGGATTAAGTGTATCTATATTAATAATTCGTTCTTTATCAATGACATTTGTTCCTTTCGAACCAAGACGGTTGTCACCATTAGGCTTTTTCCGATCATCTAATGTTGGTAATGCTTTAGAACCTTGTCGAATGACATTCGTAGCTGTAGGTGCTATGAAAAATAAATCATCAAATAAATAATAGATACAAAAAAAAAAATTGAGTCTTGAAATAGCTTAAATTTTTTCTTCATACGATAATTACTGATAATAAGAACATAGTGGCTCATGAAGGAAATATTTGAAGTGTATAGTTCCGTTTTCATTTATTTGATAGAGTATATAAAATAAGAAAAAGCATTAAAAGGTTCGACATTAGTGGCGTAATCAAGGATGGACTGGGTCAGGCACCACCCAACCATTAGAGAAAAGAAAAATATAACTACGATCATTGACACTATGTTGCATGAACTAATCTCCAGATCGTAGGGCATTATTCTACCGACCATAATCTCCGAGGGGCACCACTATTCAAGCCTATAGCGTACTGGCAAAGAGTTATGGCCGTTTTACTGTAATTGAGATATTCCAAAAAAAAAAAAACTCAAAAATGTTTTGATTTGGAATTTTGTCTATAAATAGTTTAATAGTCATGGAATAGTTTCTGTGAATTTTGACGAAAACGAACCTGTCTTTCTCGAGATAATTAATTTCCAAATAGATTGGATAATTGTGTCTCCCTACGGCAAACGGCTGTCTTTTTGTTAGAAAAATCTATCGATAGCCAAAATTTCAGATCGAAATTCTTTCGTTCTTTTTAGAATACCTGGCTCTCAGTAAAAAGGCCGTAACTCGTTGCCGCTATACTATGAGCTCGAACTCATCTAGACTTTTTCTTAATTCAATATACTCTATCGAATTAATCAAAACGAAACTGAACATTTTGAGAAGTTCCTTCGTCAGAGGATATAGTGGTTTGTTCATTTGTGACAAGACTAAAGGATTTTCGTTTCAAGCGAAGAAAGGAAAATTTTTTTCATAATACCTGCTGCTGAGACAGGTGCTTGTGCTTGATTATTGTTTGTTTCTAGAAAAAAATTTCCAATAAAAATTGAACTTTTTATTCTCAATTGAAATTTTATTATTTTACCTATACGATTTGTATTAGTATTACTATTAATAATATCAGTCAATGGTAATGCAACTGGATCTCCAATTCGTTCACAATCACTTTGAAGTATTTCAATTTCATAAAGCATAAGCATAACTCTATAAAAGTCTATTAAATTATTTCAATTTTATTATTAAATTATTTACCGTCCATTTTGTTTATCAATTGAATTTACCATCACACGATCAACACGTACAATAGAATTTTCTTTTAATGAATTCGTTTCGATTAATTTATTCATTTGAGTACCAAGCATACATGCTAAATAAATCAATGAATTTTCTCGTCAAATCAATCAATTGATTTCTTACAAGAAAATGTACTCTTGCCATCAGATAACATAAGACGATAACGTTTAGCAGAACCTGATGGATCATCTGTTTTACTTTCGATTGGTTTAATACCCTAAACATATCAATACTCGAAAGTTACAAACATTATCATAATAAAAATACATACGATAACTTGTAAAGTTGCTTTTTCTGAAGTATTACCACGTATATAACGCTAAGAAAATGTCAAGTAAAAAAACTAAATTTTTAATAAAGAAAATATCATATTTACTAAAAGAGCACCAGTTGTAAGTCGTTGATTAGCCATTGTAAATTAATCTGAAAATAGTTTCGTTGATTAATTATTTGAAAGAAAAGGCAACTTAAGTAAAATTAAATTTAACCGTATACAGTGATATGTTTGTTCTAGAGAAAGAAAACAAAATATTTTATATTATAGAAGATCTAGTCAAGGTCCCGAGAACAATAAAGAAAGAAAGAAAGACGTATAGACAACACGAATAATAGAAAATAAACATGATGAACCGATATGCATTTAAATCGACATGTGACAATATTATCATTCGAGAAAAGAAATCTATTCTATCGATATTTTCTATAAGAAGGAGA